GGTGACTGACGATTGTTACTTCTTATTTTGTTATTCCCAAAAATATTACTCCAGTGACACAGCCATTAGTAGGTTGTTAGCTTTTGTAAAAATTTCAGTCTTGCTAAGTCTCAGTCGACTGAGAATTCGTTAAGACTCAGTTGATGCTATATCCGTGAGATCCTATATTGAGATCCATGCAAAATTTCTTTTTGCGGTTTTTTTTCCGCTTGTGCATGTTATGTTACTTGATTGAGACTTGGTTAAATCTCTGTCGATTGAGACCAAGCCATGCCCATAAAATTTGTATGAAATCGATATATGACAACACATGATACACCAATAGTACATAACTAAAGACCTTAAATAACCACTCATGTACATAAGAAAGAAAAACACCCCAAAGTCATTTTTTTGACCCGAACAAGCAGCTGGTAAATAGGGTGTCCTTATTGCACTTATACTGGAGCATGCACACCATTACCCCCGACATTTTGTCTCACCTGGCCTGGATGCATGTAGATTATCATCATCCACTAGATGAAGTTGTGAAAAAGACAACTCTCAGGAGCTGTTGTTGCTGATGACGAGAACCTCGTGTTGGTGATGTTTGGCCTGATAACATGCCCCAAAAATAACCCATAACTTGTTTTGGATGCTTTTCTTCCATGTCCAATGCGTAAGCAGCTACCACGTGTCACATCTCTGACTCTCATGGACGTCCCATAGCCATGTACGTCTATATACGGCCTGGTTGGCACGCCTAGAACAGGCTCGACGGCTGTGTCCATCTCACCAGGAGACGATGCCTTCGTCTTACCTTGGCATGCATGCAGCTCGTGAAGTTTTGGCCGCTGGTTGATGAACCGTACTATGCTCTCCATGAGGATCTTGCTGGTCGCACGCAGTGGGTTGTACAGGTGGAAGCCATGGTCTTCTCCCCCCGACTCCACCAATGTCACCGCGTCATCATCATCGGCCCATGAGCAGCAGTCGCGCATGCGAGCTGCCAGCCGATGCCCGCGGTCACTCAAGGTGTCCTTCTCGGCGACGGCCACCAGCACACGCCGGCATGTCAGCGAGGCGATCTCCTCGTCGTGAGGGTTGACCGAGGGATCGTCGTTGCCCAGCCGGCCGGCCGTAGCGAACGGCCAGAGCATGTCGATGGTCTCAGGAGCAAACATGGCGACGCCGTCCCAGACTGCCTCGGAACTGGACAGCCGCTCGACCCCCCAGAAGTATGGGTGCACGATGATCAGACCTTCGATGTGGATGTGGCTGCTACCGCCGCTGGCCGCACGCACCGCCGTGTTGTAGACAATGTTCCCGCCAGCACTGTCGCCAGCAAGGAACGTGCGCCCGAGGTCTGCGTAGTCGGAGAGCCAGGGATCAGAGAGGGACACCACCCACTGGAGCGCCGCCCATGCATCGTCGTAGGCTGCAGGCACAGGATGCTCCGGCGCGAGACGGTACTCCACGGACACAACGAGCGCCCCGGCGTGCGCCGCCAATGACCTGGTGTAGTTGTGGTAAGTGCGAGAGAACGCGCTCTCCGTGCAGAAGGATCCGCCGTGGACGTACATGAGAACGGGAAGCCTTTCGCCGCCGATCCCCGTAGAGGCGGCTGCAATGGAGGGAAGGAACAGGCGTGCGGACACGCCGGTGCTCTGGTCGATGACGACGTCCCTGGTCGCAACTCCACGGTTTGCTGCCGGGTCCTTGGACGCTGCCACGAATGGGCTGTGCAGTAAGCGCTCCACACGGCCGCCCTTGTATTCCCGTATGAATGGATACAGGTCGACGGTGATGCCCTCCTCGCCGTCATCCTTCTTGCTTAGTACCGGAGAACTCTTGCTTTCCTGCATATCGTGCTCGTTTGAGCTTGCTAGCAGCAGTAATGTATCCATTACTTTAGTGCCAACTGCCAAGCATGCAGCTCTATTTGGTGCAAAGAGAGCCTAGATGCTCACTGGTTAGGCAGCCGGTTTAATTCCCACAATCGACACGTGATGCAAGAGTTTCGCTACATATCCGAAGAGTTACGTGGGAAGGAGGCTTACACGGTGAGGTGGCAAGGGTTTAAGTCCTGGTGCTTGTGTTTATCCTGGACTCATTTCAGAATTTCCGGCGATTCGCGTTCAGTGAGAGGAGACGGTTCCCATCGACTACGAGGCACCTACGGTGGGGTCGTAAAATATCAGAATAATATGCCGGCTCACTCTATCAAAGATGCTCATAGAGATAGGGTGTGCGTGTGTGCATTCATAGGATAACTGTATACGCGTATGTATAAGCGTTTGCATCTATACTGTATTAAAAAAACTAGGCTTAATGGAAGTGCGGGGCCCACACTGATATTGGGGGAGGGGGATGTGTAGTAGGTTGGAAGGAAGGTTTTGTATGCTTATGTAAAGTTGGTAGCATTTTCGGTGATGCAAAGCGGTTTTTCCCACTAATTTCTCGAGCACCGTGGTGATGGAATGCATGCACTCTGGGTTGGTTTTTTATGCCATGTTCTTTTCCTAGATTGCAAGGATTATGTTGATGGATCTGCACTGTTCTAACCCGGTATAATCAAATAAATGGCCGGTAATTCCTAATTAACGCGAGAATTTCTAGGGAGTCTCTTCTGAGTGTAGGTATAGATAAGAAACAAGTTGTATAGATTGGACAACGAGGTGTAAACAAGAGCTCCCTTCTATACCTTACCGAACTTGAAAAAATCCATAAATTAGTTGATAATCATATTCTTACAATAATAATAAAAAACAACAGCCGCAATGCAGGGCGAAGCTTCTACTGTATTGAACGTGAGACAAAAAGTAATCTACTTCAACCATCCAAGTTTACAAGCCGCAATGATTTGGTACCTGGGAGAAAGGCACATATAGTTAAATACACAGGTCCATATCGAAAAAGGCTTTTGCACCGTTTTATATAAAGCAACGATCATCTATGGCCTGATACAAACGCACGCCATCACAACACACGCACACACTCAAGGCAGGATATATAGATGTTGTCCACAGCAACATCACCCCTAGCACTAGAAGAGCAACCAGAGTCCTCAACAGTGAACATGCCATCGCGAAGAGATGATGCCGCATAGGACGAACGGTGGGCTCCAAGACGACGCCTTCAGGAAGGTTACGACACCAGAGTGCCACCACGGCCCGACCCAAGGATCAGAGTTTCTCTTGAAGGAACACGACGCCGATGGGATTATGACGCAACTGCTTCTGGTTGCATTGAGGGGGCTTCTACCGGAAAACGTTCGATTAGCCATTGTGAAGCTATGTGCATTTCTCAATGCAATCTCTCAGAAGGTAATCGATCCAGAAATCATACCAAGGTTACAGAATGATTCGGTGCAATGTCTTGTCAGTTTCGAGTTGGTGTTCCCACCATCCTTCTTCAACATCATGACGCACGTCCTAGTTCACCTATGCGAAGAGATTAACATTTTGGGTCCTGTATTTCTACACAATATGTTCCCCTTTGAGAGGTTCATGGGAGTCTTAAAGAAATATGTTCATAACCGTGCTAGGCCAGAAGGAAGCATCTCCAAGGGCCGTCAAAATGAGGACGTCGTTGAGTTTTGTATTGACTTTATTCCTAACCTTAAGCCGATTGGTGTTCCTGAATCGCGGCATAAGGGCAGACTAGATGGAAAAGGCACGCTAGGAGGGGAACAAATAATATGTATGGACGGACATTCTCTCACTGAAGCACACTACACAGTTCTACAGAATTCCGCCTTGGTGACTCCGTATATGGATGAACACAAGAATTTGCTACGCTCCAAACACCCGGAGCGGTCTGATGACTGGATTACACGTGAACAAATCAGGAGTTTCGCCAGCTGGTTGCAAGCACGTACCATGCATGACACCTCTATTGAAGATGACCTGTACTTGCTGTCCCAGTTACCATCTTCGAATATAATGACTTTCAAAGGGTACGAGATAAAAGGTAATACATTTTACACGATCGCCCAAGATAAGAAGAGCACAAACCAAAACAGTGGTGTCCGCTTTGATGCAGAAACCAAGACGGGAAAGGAAACATATTATGGTTATATACAGGACATATGGGAACTTGACTATCGACGTGGTTTGAAGGTCCCTTTGTTTCGGTGTAAATGGGTCAATATGACACGAGGCGGGGTAACGGAAGACCCGCAGTACGAAATGACAACAGTGGATCTCAACAATCTTGCGTATGCAGACGAACCATTCGTCCTAGCCAATGATGCGGCACAGGTTTTCTATGTGAAGGACATGTCTACCAAGCCATGAAAAAGAAAAGATAAGGAAGCGAATGCATCGTACGATGAGCCAAAGCGGCACATAGTTCTTTCTGGGAAGAGAAACATCGTGGGAGTGGATGACAAGACAGACAAGTCAGAAGATTATGAAAAGTTTGATCAAATTGCTCCATTCACAGTGAATATTGACCCGAGCATCCCGTTAAATGATGAAGATTTTCCATGGCTACGACGCAAAGGGATACACGCGAAGAAAAAGTTTCACACCCAAAGATCTGGGATGTGATTGGCTTAACTATCATCACTTTCTTCTGTGTTTCACACCCAGGAGGGAATCTCTGTAATAGTTAGGGTAGCTAGTTATGTGTTTTGGCATTTGAAACGCGAAGAAATTTTATGTGCAAGCAAATTCTTTCATGCATTTACTGATTTTTTCAGCTAAATGACCCTGAAATTGAAAATCATTTCAAATGAACTCATAAAAGGTTGAAAGTTGGCATGGTATCATATTTTCACCCACATAGCATGTGCAAAAAGGTAGAGAGGGTTACCGCAAAAACTGGATACACTTCGTGTACAAAATGGACAATCTGTTTCGAAGTATCAGGGTTTCGGACGAAAACTCATCCGTTACAAAGGCATTTCATTTTTTAAATAACCTAAGCATTACCAAATTGAATATAATGATAAAACACACTAATATTAAACATAAAAAAAAAGAATCACTGAAAAATCTATTTTCAAAGTTAAGTTATTCACAAAAATAAATAAAGCAAAAAAATAAGAAAAAAAAGCCCACCTACTGGGCCACAGCGGCCTGCATACGACTAGAAACCCAAATTCAAGTTGGCCCAGGATGCAGGCCCACTAGCCCAATAGGCCCAACAGGGCATCGCAGAAGAGGTAGGCCCAGAAGGCCTGCTTAAGAGAGGAGCTCGAGACAGCAGCGACGGCGGGGCTTATAAGTAGGTGCGAGTGCCCCTCGGCTAGCGAGGTGGGACTAAACTTTTGTGCCCCTCGCCTGGCAGCGCACACCCTTTAGTACCGGGTCGTGGCACCAACCGGTACTAAAGGCCCCCCCTTTAGTACCGGTTGGTGCCAC